TTCCTGCAAGAATCCCGGGATGCATCAAGGGGTGCAGACGTTCCCAGTTCCTGAGCCAAATGTATCTGGCCTCAGCTGCCGGTTTTGCCACCTCCTTCCATGGAAACTGAGGCCTCTGCACTCTCCTCTGACCACTTTTGCTTCGTTATCAGCCAGATGACCCTGACTCCTTAAGTCCCTCGCCGTCAGGGTCTTCACATCGCTCCCATGGCTTCCTCCTGCATCCCTGGCGGTTTCTTGGTGTCCGTCTTCCATAGCCTGAGCGTGAGCCCTTCCCACAACTTGTCCCTGTTCCGCTTTTGCACGCCCAGGGCAACGCGAGGCCTTTCCAGCCCAGCTTTTTGGACGCTGGGAGAGCTTTCCACAGCACCGTCCTGCCATCCACTCCTCCCCTTGCTCTGTGTCCCCAGCTCGTCCCTTCTCAGCTCATCATCCCTCCTGGGTGCCTGCCACGCTCCCCACCCTGCCCAGCCCCCGGGCGCTGGGGGAGCAGGCAGGATTTTTGGCGCAGAGAGGGTGGTGCAGGCAGGATTTTGGCACAGAGCTGTATCCCGTAGGAACGGGATGCTCTGCAAGAAGGGCCATGGCGATGGCTGGCCCCATTCCCCTCCTGCGGCAGGGGATGCCAGTGGTGAAAGCCACCGTGGATGTGGATGTCACACATGCAGATGGGCGAGGCGGGTGCTGAGCCCCAACAAGGATCGCACCCGGGTCCCATGGCACTGAGGGCTGGGGCGGGGGGCTCCCTAGGGCGGGAGGAGTGGTGCACCTTGGACTGAAAAGGGGCCCTTTGGGTCCTGCCTCTGCCCCGGCTGCCCCCCTGTCTTCCGGGATGGATGGGACTGCACCAAAGTCACCTGGCAGCCCTGAGGTCCCTGTGTCCAAGAGGCTCAACGCCTGGCTTGGGCTCTGCCCGTACTGTCCCGGCGACCCAGGAGCGGGGATCTCTGCCCCCAAAAGGGGACAGGGGGACCCAAACCTTCCCAGCCCTCCTGTCCCCCTCCCAGTGCTGCCGGGGGAGGATGGAGCCGGGTAAGGTGGAAGGAGACGGCGCTGACCCTGCAGGCTGCCACGCGCTGCCACGCGCTGCCTGCACCTGCAGGAAGGTAAGAGTAGCAAAGCAGGGACCGAACGTAATGTGGCTCTGGGCTGTTTGTGCGCCTTTTGTTCGCCAGTAACCTTCGTGAATCAGCTAATTAACCGCATTAGGACGGCTCTGCTTCCCCGCCTGAGTGTTATTGGGCAGGGCAGATCTGGGGCAGCGCGCCAGCAGGAGCCCCGGTCGGCTTTGCTGGGCGGTCAGGCAGCTTGAGAGCCCCTGCGGCGGCCGGGGAAGGCACCCGGGAGGCAGCCGGGGTAGGTAACACCCCGGCAAGGTGCTGGCAATGGGCAGTGAGGGAGAGAGCGCCTGGTGCTTGCTATGGGGGGGGCGGGAAGGAGCTGGCCCTGTCCTTCATCACAGCATGGAGGTGAGAGCCTGATGCACCTGGGGTTATGTTCCTGCTTCACAGCCAGCCCCGAGTCCCATCAGCGGGTGTTTTTCATTGCCATAAGCCATGCCTGTGCCTTGGGGAGCCTCTACTGATGGCTGGAGAGGGGGTGGGCGCGATGGACCCCAAAACCAAGCAGAGAGCTCCCCTAAAGCCAAAAGTGTGTTGTGCATCACCCTCCTCCTGTGCTGCCTTGCTGCTTTTACCCAGCAGCTCTGCAACACCCTGGCTTGGAGGGCTCCCAGACAAAGACGTGGCTGAAGGGCAGCGAGGATGAAGTTTTCTTTTTACAAGCTTCACCCCAAATCTCTCCGTGCCAGCCCCCCAGGCTGTGCGTGGCCCCAGCTCTCGCCTGCTTCTCTCTCCCTCCTTCCTCTGCTTCTGGATGTGCCCCTGTGGCTTCTGGCCGTGTGTCCAGGCTCTGCAGGGCCACCCTGCCCTCGCCGCCAGGTTTCTGCAGGCTGCCAGGGTGGCTCACAGCCCTCCCAATGTCGGGGGCGAGGCCTGCGCCACAGCCGTCCGGCTGGTGGGGAGCAGCCTCCTGAGCACGTTCCCTGCCCTGAGGCTCTTGCAGAAACAAATGCCCTCTGCGTGCCGGCGGCTGGGAGGCCCTCGGGCCCGGCCCCGGGGCGGGGGGGG